CCTGGCCTTCGCCTCCAGGCTTCGCTGGGCAGGACCCAGCCGCCACTGCCCAGGCACGCCGCGGGCTAACTTTACTTCCGTTATTACCCGGTCCAGCCACTTCTGTGTACTTTCTAACGCAGGAGTGCACGAACAAAACGAGATTCAAACCCCCACAAGTCAACTTTTTATGGCCAGGAGCAGGGGGAAGTACCAATCATTTAAAGTTTAAAAGGCCGGACGCCAGCCAATAGCTCCCGGCCGGAGGACAAAGACGGCAGGGGCACGCCCCAGCGCCGGCGCCGCTACCCGGGGCCCCGAGGTGTTTTCCGAGGCCCAAACCCGAAGCTGCCCGGACCAGACCAGAGCGCTTACCTGCAGGCCCCGCCACTTCTCGAACCCGTCCAGCCAAGCCAGAAGAGCCGAGCTCCGGCTCCGCTCCGGGCACCCCGCCTGCGTCCCTGGAGTCCCGCCTCCGCCCGCGCACCGCGCGCGCACCTGCCCGGCGTCCTCTCGCTGCCCCCCGCCTACCTGCAAGGCGAGCCCCGCGGAGCCCCGGTGCCGAGCTCATCGCGGCCGAGCACACAGCCAGACGCCCGCTTCGGCTCCGCTTCCTGAATCCAGGGGCGCGCAGCCCCCGCCCCTTCGCTGGCGCTCCGCCCTCGCCCTCAGTGCCCGCCCCAGCCAGTCGGCTCGGGCCTCGTGCAGCCCCCGGCTCCGGTCGCACCCCGGCCGGGGCTTCCCTCCGAGTTAGCGTTCCCTGCAGGCTCTGGGGCCGGGCTAGGGACGTGAGCTCATCTTCCCCGACGCGCGGAGAGCGCCCGACCCTCGGGCCAGGCGCGTTGCCGCCCGAGGCGGCCTCACGTCACCTGCGCCCGCTCCGCGGCCCCAGGTGTTCGCTCTCCCCACTCCCTGGTGTGTAGCTGTTTCACAGGGAGTCTTTCACCCGGTGCCTTATTTTAAATGCGCTGCTTGCGTAAGGCATTGGGCCGAAGTAAACTGGAGGCAACTGCTGGGTTTCAGCTCGGACTTTCGTAGGTAGAGCTCATCTGGGGAAGGAATCGCTGAAAATCGCAGAACGACGTCCGCGGCTCAAGGCTTTTCACGAAGCACAGCTTGTTCTCGCCCCTGAAATGCCGCCCACGTGCTAATCGTGGTGCTAATCGTGTGCGCTGGGTTGCATTTAATTTAGGTCCTCCTCGGGTGGTTGGTGTAAAACTTACTTCAAGGAACACCTTCAGATTGAATGAAAAAGTGGTTTCCTCTAACTTCTCCCGACCTTGTCACTTAAAAAGTGGCATGCAAGGGTGAGCGTTCTGGTGTAGCCCGCATCGCACACGGAGTGCCTAGGACTAAGTGCCAACCTCGCCTTCTAACGCGGCTTCCTACGAATGACTGGGAGACAGTACATGATGGCCCAGGAGCTGGCCCCTGCTACCCACCTGGGAGACCCAGAAAGAGTCCTGGCTCCTGGTTCTCCCCTGGCTGAGGCCACTCTTGCGGGCATATGGGGAGTGAAGCAGCCAATGAAAAGACCTCTTATTTGGCTCTCCCTCTCTCTGCCACTCTGCCTTTCAAATAAGTAAACAAAAATTCTTAAAAGCCCACTGTATATAAAAAAGTAGTCAACTTCAGGCTGATAAAATATTTAAGTATGTGAAGGCACTATTTCCAATACACTGAATATAGGAGATGCTTGAGGATGAGACCCAGTTCATGAATATTATATTGCATGGGAAAGAAAATCTTCATTTGGCAACTTTTTAAAAAAAAGATTTATTTATTTGAGAGGCAGAGTCACAGAGAGGTCTTCCATCCACTGCTTCCCTCTCCAAATGGCCCCAACAGCCTGAGCTAAACCAGGAGCTTCTTCCAGGTCTCCCTTGTGGGTGCAGGGCCCAAGCACTTGGGCCATCTTCAACTGCTTTCCCAGGCCAGAGCAGACAGCTGGATCGCAAGTGGAGCTGCCGGCACTTGAACCCGTGTCTATATGGGATGGGGGCTCTGCAGGCAGAGACTTAGCCCACTGCACCACAGCGACCGTTTCCACTTGGCAACTTTCAGGGCAGATGCTGTGACGCAGGCTGAGCAGCTGCTTAGGATGCCTGCATCCCATAGAGGAATGCCTGGGGTTTGAATCAGCAGATGGAAGATCCTATTGCCCTGCCTTTCAACCAAATAATAATGTAACTTTACTACATGGGATTCGAAAGTCTTGGTCATTAAATAGGTTATGAAATCAATGAAGGGGTTTTTACTTAAACCATTTATTGTTCTTTTCATTGTGTGCATATTTCAGAAATCACCAAGTACCTTATCCTGCAGTTAAAACGGACTATCCACCATCTCCCTTGTATGCTGGGTGTGAGGACAGAGTTAAAAGACTAAATTACTCAGAACAGTGTTTGCCATACTAAGAACTCCATGCATATTGGTTATCACCATCTTCTTAGCAAAACACAAGGCTGACTTTTTAACTTTTTTTATTTCCTCATTGCCTAGCCTGGTTGCTTACTAGGAGGTAGGAAGTGCTCATTAAACTACACAGCCATTGAAGGGCATTCAGGGTTTCAGCATCTTCATTCTGGATTTTATGTAGTTATAAGTTATCAGACCACCAGAACTTCCTGTTCTTTTGCCTCAACTTTCAGAGACCCTGTAGAGGAGCAGAAATCTAACTAATTTACATTTCACTTACCTGAATGGAGATGAATTCGTCATTTCTCCCCAGAGTATCTTGTTATTTCAGAATACTGCTTTTATAATCTATGTGATTATATATTTGGGTACTTATTTCAGAATCAAATTTATAATTGGAACCTGTTAAAGCAATAGCTACCCACAGTGAAATGGTTGAGAAACAAGCTGCCTGGGTTCTAATCCTGGCACCACCATTTTATTAACTGTGAGACATGTGGCAGCTAACACAACTGAACCCCTCACAGGTTAAAATTTTCCATAAAATAGGGAACAAACTTACTCCACAGTTTTTAAAACAGTAAATACCAGAGTCATAGAATCGTACCTAGCTCACTTCTCAAAACTGGTCCCTGAGCCATCAGTGTTAACATCAGCTGAGAACTTGTTAGATATGCACATTCTTGGGCCCACCCCATATATGCAACCAGAAGCTCTGGGGTGGGTTCCAATGTGTCTTAACAAGCTCTCTGGTGATTCTGATGCATGCCCATTTGAGCACCGCTAAGACAGAATGGAATCCTAGCAACTAAAGCGAATCCATGTTATTATAACAATTCCGACACACTAAGACAGAAGGTTAACTGACAGGACGGATTGATTCTTCTTCCATCTGAAAGCCAGTTCTAGGAAACTGAAACTGAAGGTCTTAGCTTATCACCTATCCTAGGAACGAAATGAATTGGAATACAACTGAGTCCAGAGATGATTATAAAATTTAACTTTGGTCACTGTTTTCAATGTTTAACCCACTAACTCTCTAGTGTTTTTGTGTTACAGAAACCACAGAAATATTCTGATTCCTCTGTTTAAGAAAACTTGAGAACCAACCAGAAAATATAAAGTTTTCAGCAAGGAGATTGGGTCAATAGCCAAACTAGAACAATTTGAGCAACACAATAACTATTATCCAAAGTATAAAATAGTAAACAAACATCCACAGTATAAAATTATTGCAAGATATTTAAAAATCCATACAGGCTGGCATAGTGACCTTGTGATACCAGCATCCTATATCACAGCACTGCCTCAAGTAGTTCTGGCTGCTCTGCTTCTGATCCAGCTCCCTGCTAGTGTGCCTGGGAAAGCAGAAGATGGCCCAGGTACTTGGGTCCCAGATGGAGTTACAGGCTCTTGGCTTTGGCCTGGCCCATACATGGCTGTTGTGGCCATTTGAAGATTGAACCAGTAAATGGAAAATCTTTCTCTCTGTCTCTTCTCTTTTGCTTTGCCTTTCAAATAAATAAATATAAAAATCTTCTTTAGAAAATCCAAATGTATAAAACCTGTTCCTTCTAATTTTTGCATAGCTTATGACCATGAATTAAATATTTTATAGACATTCTGAGTTTGTCTTCTTGAGAATGCCAATGCTGCTGAGAAAATCCATGAATTCATTATAACCTATAGTTACTTGGTCAACTATTTCAGTAATAAATAATAAAGATTAAATATTAATAATGGCTTATAAAACTCTACCTTTTATAAACATTTGAAATAAAAATGTAATTAAGAGACCATTTTGCTCACTTAGCCACACTTGCCTTGTGTAATGGAGGCTACACTTCTTAGCAGAATGGCTGCCAGCATCTCAAATTTCAGAAGACACTAGGTTCCCAGCAATGGCATTTATTCAATGTTAGCAACATGGTCTTTTCTCCGGAACACAGATTTGTCCTTCTGCCCAATGCTGCCTATAATGACCTAACAAAGACCTACCTCTCCTTATGTGGTGTCCTTCTCTCACTCCAAGCACTTTACATCTAGCTTGGCATCATGGGCTAGGAAAAATCAACAACTAGTGGAAGCAAAGAGCAGTATGGGAACATAGCTAAGCACTCAAAGGGATTGGAAAGTTTTTGGTATTTTTAGAGAGATATGAAGTTTTGGGATTTATTCTTAAATGTGAATTTTAAATGTACATAAGAGACCCATAATAGATAGTTATTTGTATCTTACTACTTACATCTCCTTTGACACTACAACTAAAGACTTAAAAAAAAAAATTAAGGGGTGAGGGAGCCTGCACTGTGGTACATTGGAATAAACACCTGCCTGCTTCCCAGATCAGAGAGCCAGCTGGAGTCCTAGCTGCTCTGCTTCTAATCCAGCTCCCAGCTAATGTGCCTGGGAAAGCAGTGGAAGATGCCCCAGGTGCTTGGGCCCCTGCACCCATATGAAAGACTCAGATAGAGTTCCAGCTCCTGGCTTCAGCCTGGCCCAGTCCTACCTGTTGTGGCTATTCAGAAAGTGAACCAGTAGACAGACAATCTCTCTTTCTATTCCCCTCTATTATTCTGCCTTTGAAATAAATAAAATAAATCTTAAAAAAGAACGAGAATAATTTTTATTCATACCACAACTGGTTAAAATGTTACAGTCTTAAAAATCTCCCTGAATCTACTAGGAGGAACACTTGCTAGAAAATAAACATCAAAGCATACAAGCACGTAAGTGCTGTAATGTGTGTTATGTTAAAACATAAAGCCCGTTTTTTTCTCTAATTTAGGCAGAGGATACAGCAAAAGATGACATTTGTCACGCAAGTGGTTCATAAAATGGGAGTGGCTGTACTTCTGAACCTGTTCACCTCACCTTCTATTACCTTTCTACTTGGGTATCCTGGGTTTGCCCCTAGAGACTGCCACCAGAGATTCCAATTTTACAAGAAAAACAGACATGGAAACCTGTCCTTATAACTAGGCCTAAAGGAAGTGTGACTTACTCATTGGCTCAATGGGCTACAGAGAAATGGCAATCCATTATGTATAATTAAAACAGAGGAAAAATAAACTCAGTCTTTTCCAGGCATAAATGTGTATTTAAAATTTCATAGTAAACCAAGATTTCCCGTAGTTCCAAATCAGATAATATTGAACAGACCTTATAATGGATTTTAAATTTGATCTATTTTTTTTGTAAATGTGGTTGCAAAAATTGTTACACACTCTTCTTTCCAAAAATTTTCTCCTTAACATACACCTGTTTTTGAGACTGACCAAGGCATCTGGCACACAAAGGCAACAATGACCAGGACGATACCTGGGAAGGCAGGCATGTCCTCTTCACAACCCCATTTTTTTCACTTGATGTTTTAACATCAAAATATAAAGTCCTGTAAAGTCTTATTCCTTTCACATACAAAAATGACATCTTCATGCCGTATAAACACTGCTTCTTTGCTCGAGGTTATCTCGTCCATCCTCAACTGTCACCAGCTGTCAGCATCTTCTTTAAAGGTCGGTTTTTTCTTCATAGCGACATGTGCATGCAGCTCGCTGGCTGTCCAGGTATGGTTTACAGCCCAAGTGTATGACGCTGTCAAACAGGAGCTCCACTGTTGTTTCACACGCTGCAAAGAAAGAAATGCGATTACCGTCGGGAAACTGCAAAGCATTGTCCTCCTTTCACCTGTTACATGCTAAAGCACAAGGTCAAGCACGTCTCTAGTGAGCTTACTCACCTGTATTAGGTGAGTTTCATCCCAAACTCAAACTAAAGGAAAAAAGTGTCTAGACCTCTGTAAAACCACACACACACCTGGAGACTTTCGGTTTTAATTTCTGTATATGTATCTTGAATTATGTTTTTATCTAGGTGTTTAACCCAACCTTTTGTACTAGACAAGTAATAATCTTTATCAACAGTTCTGATCAGTTAATCAGTGTTAACTTTCCATTTATCTGGAAAATATAATCACTATTAGTAGGAGGAAAGAAAGAATAAAAATTAGAGAATAAAGAAAATTAAAACATAAAAATACGAAAGATCAGTGAAACGAGGAGCTATTTTTTGAAAAAATAAACAAAATCAGTACACCACTGGCCAAACTAACCAAAAAAAAAAAAAAAAAAAAAAAAAAAAGAGAAGACCCAAATCATTAGAATCAGAAATGAACAAGGAAATGCAACAACAGAAACCACAGAAATAGAAAGAATCATCAGGAATTACTACAGAGAACTGTATGCCAACACACTGGAAAATCCAGAAGAAACGGACAGATTCCTGTGTACACACAATCTACCAAAATTGAGTCACGAAGACATATAAAACCTAAACAGACCAATACCCATGACAGAGACTGAATCCATAATGAAGACTCTCTCAACAAGGAAAAGCCCAGGAACGGATGGCTTCACTGCTAAATTCTACCAGACTTTTAAAGAACTAATTCCAATTCTTCTCAAGCTCTTCAAAACAACTGAAAGGGAGGAAACCCAACCAAACTCCTTCTATGAAGCCAGCATCACCTGAATTCCTAAACCAGAAAAAGAAAACAACAGAGAACGAGAACTATAAACCACTATCTCTGATGGAACATCGATGTAAAAATCCTCAACAAAATTTTAGCTAATTGAATCCAACAACACATTAGAAAGATCATTCGCTCAGGGGCCGGTGCTGTGGTAAAGCAGGTTAAAGTCCTGGGCTGCGGAGCCAGCATCCCATTTGGGTGCTAGTTCAGTTCCCGGCTGCTTCACTTCTGATCCAGCTCCCTGCTGATGTGCCTGGGAAAGCAGTGAAAGATGGCTCAAGTCCCTGGGCCCCTGCAATCACATGGGAGACTGGAAGAAGCTCCTGGCTTCAGATCAGCTCAGCTCTGCCCGTTTCTGCCATTTGGGGAGAACCAGCAGATGGGAGACCAAGACTACCAGATCCGGGTTTTGAGCTTTAGTTTCTCAATGATTAGAGAATCCAGGGAGCAAAGTGCATGAATTCCTATCTTTCTCTACCTTAGATCCCCCCTCCCAGTGTTTCCTACACTTTTGGCTTTTTTGACCATAAATCATTGTGGATTACAAATAATCAGCCCCTCACCTCAGGAAATTGAAGAGGCTGTACAGCAATAGATAATAATAGGGTATTTCAAAAATTTTTTGATCAACAGAATTAAATAAAACTATATTTTGGTACAAGAAATTTTGAAACACATCCAAAAGTTCATGAAAAATGCATATTAGGAAAAACTGCAAGGATTTCCAAATTTTTTGCACCAAAATAAATGTATCTTTTAATTACACTTCTCTACAAAGTTTTTAAATTTTTCAATTATTTTTATTTATTTGAGAGGCAGACAGAGACAGACATAGCTCTGGTACTTGAGTTTGTTTACTCCCCAAATGCCTGCCAAGTCAGGCATGGGCCAGGCCAATGCAAGGAGCTGTGAACTCAACCCAGGTCTCCCCATAGTGGCAGTTATAGTTACTTGAGCCATTGCCACAATCTCCCAGGGTGTGCATTAGTGGGAAGCAGTAATTGGGAGTGGAGTTGGGACTTGAACTGAGGCACTCTGCTGATATGTAACACAGGCATCTTTTTTTTTTTTAATTTGCATCTTATTTCTTTTTAAAATTTTTTATTTATATAAGGTGAACAATTTTCATATATACACATCATTAAAGAGCATAATGATACTTCCACCCTACCCTCCTTTCCACCCAAAGTCCCACCTTCCCTCCTGCTTCCTTATTTTTTCTTTTAATTTCTACAATGACATACTTTCAGTTTATTTTATAATCACAGTCTTAAACCTCTACTAAATAAAGAATTCCACAAGTAGTAAGTAAAAAAATCTACTGCTCCTCGAGTATAGACAAGGTCTGTAAACAATACTCTAATCGTAAAATGTCAATTTCCCTTATATTCATTACATTTTTTTGTACTCTGTATATTAGTTAATACAAATCAAGGAAAACACATATTTGTCTTTTTGGGACTGGCTTATTTCACTAAGCAAAATGGTTTCCAGTTATGTCTATTTTGTTGCAAAAGGCAGGATTTCATTCTTTTTTATGACTGAGTAGTATTCCAGTATATATATACCACATTTTCCTTATCCAGTCATCAGCTGATGGACATCTGGGTTGATTCCATATCTTAGCTACTGTGAACTGAACTGCAATAAACATGATGATACAGATTAACTCTTGCATATGCTAATTTCATTTTGTTCGGGTAAATTCCCAGGAGTCATATGGTAGATCCATTTTCAGATTTCTGAGGAATCTCTACAGTGTCTTCTACAAGGACTGTACTAGCTTACCTTCCCACCAGCAGTGGATTAGGGTACCTTTTTCCTCATATCCTCACCAGCATTTATTGTTTTTTGATTCTTGGATGATAGCTATTCTAACTGGAGGGAGGTAAAATCTCAAGTGGTTTTGATTTGCACTTCCCTGATGGCTAGTGATCCTGAGCATTTTTTATTTTTTAAATAAGATTTATTTATTTATTTGAAAGGCAGAGTTACAGAGAGGCAAAGGCAGAGAGAGAGAGAGAGAGAGAGAGAGAGAGAGAGAGAGATCTTCCATCTGCTGGTTCACTCCCCAGATGGCTACAATGGCTGGAGCTGTGCCAATCCAAAGCAAGGAGCCAGGGGCTTCCTCTGGGTTTTCCATAAGAGTGCAGGGGCAAAAGGACTTGGGCCATCCACCACTGCTTTCCCAGGCCATAGCAGAGAGCTGGATTAGAAGTGGAGCAGCTGGGACTTGAACCAGCACCCATATGGGATGCCAGCACTGCAGGTGGCAGCTTTACCTGCTACACCACAGCACCGGCCCCCTGAATTTTTCAATGTGTTTGCTGGCCATCCATATATTTTTTTTATTTTTTATTTCTTGACAGGCAGAGTGGACAGTGAGAGAGAGACAGACAGAAAGGTCTTCCTTTGCCGTTGGTTCACCCTCCAATGGCCGCCACGGCCAACGCGCTGCGGCCGGTGCACCGTGCTGATCCGAAGCCAGGAGCCAGGTGCCTCCCCTGGTATCCCATGGGATGCAGGGCCCAAGCACTTGGGCCATCCTCCACTGCCCTCCCGGGCCACAGCAGAGAGCTGGCCTGGAAGAGGAGCGACTGGGACAGAATCCGGCGCCCCAACTGGGACTAGAACCCAGTAATGCCAGCGCCGCAGGTGGAGGATTAGCCTAATGAGCTGTGGCACCGGCCATCCTTAGCCCATTTTTAACTGGATTGCTTATTTGGTTGCTTTTAGGCTACTTGTGTTCCTTATGTATCCTGGTCATTGCAATGAGCCTGCACACTGTTTTGGATAACATGGACATTCTGATGATACTATTTTTCCAATCCATGAATATGGAAATTTTTCCATTTTTTGGTATCTTCTTCTATTTCTTTCTTTAATGTTTTGTAATTTTCATTGTAGAGTTCTTGTACATTCTTAGTTAAATTTATTTCAAGGTATTTAAAATTGTTTTCTAACTATTGTGAATGGTACTGATCTTACAAGTTCTTTTCCAGCCACGCCATTGTCCGTATAGAAAGGATATTGATTTTTGTACAACTGCCAAATTCCTTTATGAGTTCCAGTAGTTTCCTAGTGGAGTCTTTTGATTTCTCTATATATAGGATCATGCAAACAGGGACTTCCTCCTTTCTAATTTGTGTCCCTTTGATTTCTCTTTGTTGCCTAATGGTTCTGGCTAAAACTTCAAGGACTTTACTAAATAGCAATGGTGAAAGTGGGCATCCTTGTCAGGTACCAGATCTTAGTGGGGATGCTTCCAACATTTCCCCATTCAATATGATGCTGGTTGTTGGTTTGTCATATATTGCCTTGATTGTGTTAAAGAATGTTCCTTCTATACCCAATTTGCATAAGGTTTTTTTCATGAAAAGATGTTTTATCAACTGCTTTCTCTGCATCTGTTGAGACAATCATGTTTCTATTTTTCAATTTGTAATTTTATATATTAATTTTTTTTGACAGGCAGAGTTAGACAGTGAGAGAGAAAGACAGAGAGAAAGGTCTTCCTTCCATTGGTTCACCCCCAAATGGCCACTACAGCTGGTGCGCTGCGCCGATCTGAAGCCAGGAGCCACGTGCTTCCTCCTGGTCTCCCATGTGGGTGCAGGGCTCAAGCACTTGGGCCATCCTCCACTGCCTTTCCGGGCCACAGCAGAGAGCTGAACTGGAAGAGGAGCAACCGGGACAGAACCGGCTCCCCAACCGGGACTAGAACCCAGGGTACCAGCGCCACAGGCGGAGGATTAGCCAAGTAGCCGTGGTGTGGGCTGATATATTAATTTTTTTAAAAAAAGAGTTATTTATTTACTTGAAAGGTAGAGTTATAGAGAGGCAGATACAGAGAAAGAGAGATCTTCCATCTGCTGGTTCAATCTCCAAATGGCCGCAACAGCAGGAGCTGAACCAATCCAAAGGTAGGAGCCTAGAGCCTCTTCCAGGTCTCCATGGGGGTTCAGGGGCCCAAGGACTTGGGCTGTCTTCTACCACTTTTCCAGGCCATAGCAGAGAACTGGATCAGAAGTGAAGCAGCCAGGACTTGAACTGATGCTCACATGGAATGCTGGCACTGCAGCAGCAGCCTCACCCGCAACGCCACAGCACCAGCCCCATGTATCACATTTTTGATTTGTGTATGTTGAACCATCCCTGCCTGAATGCCAGGGAGAAATCCCACTTGGTCTGCGTGAATGATCTTTCTCATGGCAACACAGCCATCTTAACTGATTTTTTAACTGCTAGGCCAAATACCTGCCCCTCTATGAACTTTTTGAATGATTTCTATTGGTAAATCCCATACTAAAACATAAGGCATTCAATGAAACTTTGAAAACTGCAATCACCTCCAACCCACCAGACTGTCCTTACCCTGAACATGCTGAGCTAGTCCTAGTGTTTTCTGCACGTCTCGGCAAATTTTGGAGAGGCAATACTGGAACTCCTCATCACAGTCGTTCTTGCTTTTGCCACATGTCTCATAGCACCTATCATGTTGGTTGCAGCACTTTGTCAGGGAAGGGATGCCAATGTTAAGCTGCAAGAGGCATTTGAATGGGTTATTGTCAAGTAATAGCAAACTCGTCTGCTGAAGTACTGTACTGAAACAGACTTAATAGAAATAAGTAAAAATTTAATTCTGGCTGGTGCTGCAGCTCACTAGGCTAATCCTCCGCCTAGCGGTGCCGGCACACCGGGTTCTAGTCCCGGTCGGGGTGCCGGATTCTTTCCCGGTTGCCCCTCTTCCAGGCCAGCTCTCTGCTGTGGCCAGGGAGTGCAGTGGAGGATGGCCCAAGTCCTTGGGCCCTGCACCCCATGGGAGACCAGGAGAAGTACCTGGCTCTTGCCATCGGATCAGCATGGTGCACCGGCCGCAGCGCGTTGGCCGTGGCGGCCATTGGAGGGTGAACCAACAGCAAAAGAAGACCTTTCTCTCTGTCTCTCTCTCTCTCACTGTCCACTCTGCCTGTAAAAAAAAATTTTTTTTAATTCCTCCTACAGACGTTTCCTATGTTATCAATCCCTTCTTCTTATTCACATCCACCTATGTCTTGTCTCAGCTATGTATCACTGCTTCCTTCTTGCAACGTTAGAATCCTCAGTTATCTGTCAATAATAAGCACTTGCTACTGTCCAAAAAACAAAACACAATTTTAAAACAGAAATATAAGGCTAAGGGCATTAAAAAATTAATCCCGGGGCTAGAAAAGTGTGATTTTTGGATAGTTCAGAGTTTCATGCTCCACCTTCCTAAATAAAATGTGCTTTTCATGAAATGTTACAAAGAACTGCTAATTGCTTACAACTAAATATCTTTTTTTAAGCTTTAAAGTACATACTCATTCCATAAGGAAACTGTTATTTTGAACCCATAGCTTATCTTTAAGACAACTTTATTCACCAAACTCTTTTGTCTAGGAATCATATTCATAAACTTTCTTCCCCATAATTCCAGGCTCAGATCTAGTCTTCCTTACAGCCACACTGCTACTCTCACTGGACCTGGTTTTAGTACTGAAAAAACATGCTTGGGCTGGTGCCACAGCTCAATAGGCTAATCCTCCGCCTTGCGGCGCTGGCACACCGGGTTCTAGTCCCAGTCGGGGTACCGGATTCTGTCCCGGTTGCCCCTCTTCCAGGCCAGCTCTCTGCTGTGGACCGGAAGTGCAGTGGAGGATGGCCCAAGTGCTTGGGCCCTGCACCCCATGGGAGACCAGGATAAGCACCTGGCTCCTGGCTTCGGATTGGCGCAGTGCGCCGGCCAAAGCATGCCAGCCGCGGCAGCCATTGGAGGGTGAACCAACGGCAAAAGGAAGACCTTTCTTTCTGTCTCTCTCTCACTGTCCACTCTGCCTGTCAAAAAAAAAAAAAAAAAAAAAAGAAAAGAAAAAAAAAAAAAGAAAACATGCTTTATCCATATGAGGGCACATCAAAAAGTTAACGGGAAATGGAATTAAAGATGTTTGTTTCAATGCAAATATTTTTGAAAAGTTCATGAAAAATATGTATTATGATCAAACTGCATCAATTTCAAATGTTTTTGGTACCAAAATAAACTTACCTTTAAATTCCATTTTTCTATGAATTTTAAGAAGTATCCTCTTACTTTTTCTCCCTTAAGTAGTATTAATTCTGTACGCTAAACTTATTTTAAAAGTTTAATTATTTTTATTTATTTTAAAGACAGAGTGAGGGACAGAAAGAGTGATCTTTCATCTCTTGGTTCACTCCCCAAATGCCTCCAACAGCTGCAGCTGGGTCAAGCTGAAGCCAGGAGCCAAGAATTCCATCTGAGTTTTCTACATGGGTGGCAGGCCCATCATCTGTTGACTCCCAAGATGCACATTAGCAGGAAGCTGGATCTGAAGCAGAGGCAGGAATGGATTGCAGGCACTCCAATACAGAGTATGGGTGTCCTAAGCAGTGGCTTAACCCACTGTACTATATCACCCGTCCCTGTACTCCGAACCTTTGAACCATATTTGTGACATTAGGAAAACCATTTAAATGGTATTAACATCTACAAGATCCAAAAATAAAACATTATCTTTACTTCATTTAATTTTGTTAGGAGTTATTAAAAAGTTTTCCATAAAATAATGTAATAAACCTGGTCACCATTACAGCAAGTAAAATTATTTGTAGACCTGAGAATACACTGATAGTCCTGTGTGATCCAAAGAATTACACAGCCTACCAGTCATAAAATTTAGCAAATAAAAAACAATACCAGAGCCTGTGCTGTGGAGCAGCAGGTTAAGTTGCTGCTTATAACGCCCATCATTCCACTTTGCAATGCTGTTCCACTTCCAATCAAGTTTCTTGCTAATGGTTCCAGAAGGCAGAGGATGATGGCCAAATACTTAGGCCCCTGCCACCCATGTGGGAGACCAAGATGGAGTTCTAGGATCCTGGTTTCAGCCTGGCCCAGTCTTGGCTGGTATAACCATTTGGAGAATGAACCAGGGAACGGAAGATAGAAGAGCAATCTCTCTTCTCTCTCTCTCCACCACTCTGTCCCTTTTTGTCTCTGTTACTCTGCCCTTCATGTAAATAAATAAATAAATAAATAAATAAATAAATAAATCTAAAAGAAAAACAAAACCAAAAATACAATACTTACATGAACACCAAACAATGGAGAACCACATCCATTTGGTGGGGAGGGTTTATAACCATAACGTGGGAATGGCTTAGATCCTATAAAACATAAACAGTTCCATAATTATTTGTCAAATATGATAGAAATAAAAAACATACTCAAAAAGATCCACAGTGTACTAGCCTTCAAAATATTTAATATTTTTTGGATGTTGACATAAGTGAATATGCCTATGGTTTGAATGTTTGTAACTCCCTGCCCACCCTCAATCACCAAATCCATAAATGTTGAGACTAATGTGATGGTATTAGTTGGTGGAACCACTGGGAAGTGATAAGGTTAGAACCCTGGAATAGTGTTCTTACAAAAGAGGTCCAGAGGGCTGCCTTGCCCGCAAGCCGTGTGACAACACAGTGAGAAGGCACCATTCTATGAACCAGGAAGTGGGTCTTCACCAGACTGTGAATCTGCTGGTGCCCTGATCTTGTACTCCCCGGCTTCCAGAAGTACGAAGAATACATTTCTGCTGCTTATAAGCAACCTGGTTTATGGCATTTTGTTACATCAGGCCAGACTAAGACATTCATGTTCTCAGCAAGGCCTCCCCTGACCATACCATTCTGTGGCGTATATGATTTCTAACATACTAACATCACTAATCTATTTATTTCTTTTTTTATCTGTCTTGCCATGGTAAAATGCAAACTCCCTGAGGGCAGGAAGTTTTTGGTCTGTTTTGTTACCCCAGTGGCTGAAACAGTGCCTGGCATATGGTCAGTTTCTCATATAAATATTTACTGAACAATGAATAAATGAATGAATACTGAGCACAAAGACTTGGAAGGCTGATCCTCATAGCAGTTATATACTCATTACAAATAAGATGGTGTCGCTCCCCCTCTTCGTGGAGGAATGACACTAAGCCCTGCCTAGGCTTCATATCCGAGTCACGGCACCATTATGTCGCTCCCCCTCTTCGTGGAGGAACGACACAGGACCCTGCGCTGTTCTTTCGTCTGCTCGGCCCTCCCCGGGTTTGCTGCTGGTTCTTCCCGGGTTGGCTACTATCCCTTCCACCTCCGTGGAAGGGCAGTTCCCCCTGGCCACATTCCCCACTTCCGCAGGGGAGCGGCACACCGCCGGCCGGCTTTCTCGGGGGCTGCACAGGTGTTCCTTCAGCTAGATGTTCCCCTTAGATGTTCCTGGTGCATGCCGTCTCTCTCCTCCTTTATAGTCCTGCTCCGCCAATCCTAACTCGGCTGCCCACACGCCGAGTACGCTGCTCTCCACCAATCAGGAGCAAGTCCTACAGTTTATTGGTTGAACTGGAGGCAGCTGTGCGGAAGCTGTTTACTTCTCTCCCAGCGCCATATTGTGGGAGAGCAGATGCATAGAATAAGTCTTAATTCCAGTAACTCAGTCCAGTCCGGTTTGCTCCCCACAGATGGTACTGTTGTCTACCCTTCAGTCTCTTTGAATTTGTGTTCACCAAACATTCAGCAGCCTCCAAAGACTGTTCACTTCTAGTTTGTCACATTTCTTTAAATTGTGGCATCCAGGGGCCAACACTGTGAGACAATGAACACCAGCTGAACACCAGTATCTCATATCGGAGTGCTGGTCTGAGTCCTGGCTGCTCCACTCCTGATCCAGCTCCCTGCTGATACTGCTGATATGCATGGGGAAGCAGTGTATGATGGCCCAAGTCCTTGGGCCCCCGCCACCCATGTCGAAGATCCATATGGAGTTCCTGGGACCTGGCTTCAGCCTCACCATTGCGGCCATGTTGGGAGTAAACCAAAAGGTAGACTTTTTTTTTTTTTTTTTTTTTTTTGACAGGCAGAGTGGACAGTGAGAGAGAGAGACAGAGAGAAAGGTCTTCCTTTGCCGTTGGTTCACCCTCCAATGGCCGCCGCGGCCGGCGCGCTGCGGCCGGTGCACCGGCACCGCGCTGATCTGATGGCAGGAGCCAGGAGCCAGGTGCTTATCCTGGTCTCCCATGGGGTGCAGGGCCCAAGCACCTGGGCCATCCTCCACTGCACTCCTGGGCCACAGCAGAGAGCTGGCCTGGAAGAGGGGCAACCGCGACAGAATCCGGCGCCCCGACCGGGACTAGAACCCGGTGTGTCGGCGCCGCTAGGCGGAGGATTAGCCTAGTGAGCTGCAGCGCCGGCTCAAAAGGTAGACTTTTTGAATACTTTTCTTCTATATCCTTTTTTTTTTTTTTTTAAGATTTATTTATTTACTTGAAAGAGTTACACAGAGAGAGAAGGAGAGGCAGAGAGAGATCTTCCATCTGCTGGTTCACTCCCCAGTTGGCCACAACAGCTGGAGCTGGGCTGATCCGAAGCCAGGAGCCAGGAGCCTCCTCCAGGTCTCACACATGGGTGGAGGGGCCCAAGGACCCGGGCCATCCTCCACGGCTCTCCCAGGCCTTAACAGAGAGCCAGATCAAAAACAGAGCAGCCAGGACTCCAACTGGCGCCCATATGGGATGCCGGCACTGCAGTTGGCAGCTTCATCTGCTACGCCACAGTGCTGGCCCCATGCCTTTTCTTTTTTTTCAAGACTTTTTTAAAAATTTATTTGGAAGGCAGGGTTACACAGAGCGAGAGGCAGAGAGTGAGAGCGAGAGAGAGAGAGAGAGAGAGGTCTTCCATCTGCTGGTTCACTCCCTAAATGGCTACAACAGCTGGAGCTGAGCTGATCTGAAGCCAGGAGCAAGGAGCTTTTTCCAGGTCTCCCACGTGGGTGCAGGGTCTCAAGGAGTTGGGCCATCTTCTACTGCTTTCCCAGGTCTTAGCAGAGAGCTGGATCAGAAGTGGAGCAGCTGGGACTCAAACTGGTGCCCATATAGGATGCTGGCACTGAATGCAGTGACTTTACCTGCTACGTCATAGCGCCGGCCCCCACTCTGCCTTTTAAATAAAACAAATTTTTAAAAATAAAATATGGTACCTAAACTGAACATCATCAGGTATAATGGGCCTTTTACCCTTTTGAGCTAATAACAGCCTAAGACTGTTAGCATGCTTTTCAACTGTCTCACTGCTAACACACACCAGGCAGTAGTAAAAACATTAATTTTTTCTGAAATGAAATTTTTCAAATCTACCTCTAGAGGCTTAGCACTTCTGCCACTTTATTTTTGAGACTAAATAAAAGACAATATAATTCTACCTTGCTAATTTCATTTTTTGAAAACAATTATCTATTTATTTATTTGAAAGGTAGAATCACAGAGGGAGAGAGAAGGCGAGACAGAGAGGAGATCCTCTAGACGCTGGTTCATTCCCCAAATGGCCACAGTGGCCAGGGGTGGGCCAGGCTAGAGCCAGGAGCAAGGAGATTCCTCTGGGTCTCCCATATGGGTACAGAAGCCCAAGGACCTGGCCATCTTCTGCTGCATTCCCAGGCACATCAGCAGGGAGCTGGATTGGAAGTGGAGCAGCAGCCAATATGGAACCATTAACCCACTGCGCCACAGCACTGGCCTTTTTTAAATTTTATTTTATTTTGTTTATTTATTTTTTAAAGATTTATTTTATTTTTAAAGATAGAGTTACAAAGAGAGGTAGAGCCAGAGAGAGATGTCTTCCATCCTGTGGGTCACTCCCCAAATGACCCCAATAGCCAGAGCTGAGCTGATCTGAAGCCAGGAGCCATGAGCTTCTTCCGGGTCTCCCATGCGGGTGTAGGGGCCCAAGGATTTAGGCCATCTTCTACTGCTTTCCCAGGCCATAGCAGAGAGCTGGATTGGAAGTGGAACAGCCGGGACTTGAACCAGTGCCCACATGGGATGCCAGCACTACAGGCCGGGGCTTTGACCCTCTGCGCCACAGCACCGTCCTCATTTTATTTTATTTTTAAACAATATTTATTTATTTATTTGAAAGGCGGAGTTACAGAGAGAGAAACAGAAGGAGTTTTGCTATTTTTAGGTCATCATCCAGGACTGCTCAGATTTTAAATCAAGAGCTATTTTCCCAGTGGTCCCTGGATTCAAAACTTGAGACATACACATTAACCAGGACAAAGGGGATCAACACCTTCTACAGATGAGCCCTCACCATAAGCAGCCAGGAAGTCACTAACCCAACTCTTTGGATACACTACTCAACTGATTATGGAGGTACCTCAATCAAGTCTACCCAGTCTACATTTCTCACAGATATACCATGAAAAATGACACATTTTATCTATGGTCTTCTTTGTCTTACCATACTACAGAACTCATCAGAAAAAAAGAGGCTGGACCACTACTATATTATTGCAGAACACATTCTAATTCCTTACACTTCATCACTAAGCTCTCGTCAGCATTTTAATAATAAAATGTTTAAAACATTGGGGTCAGTGCTGTGGCGTAGCGGGTAAAGCCTCCGCCTGAGTGCTGGCATCCCATATGGGTACTGGTTCGAGTCCTGGCTGCTCCACTTCTGATCCAGCTCTCTGCTGTGGCCTGGGAAAGCAGTGGAGGATGGCTCAAGTCCTTGGGCCCTTGCACTCATGTGGGAGACCCGGAAGAAGCTCCTGGCTCCTGCTGTTGCGGCTCTGGCTGTTGTGGCCAATTGGGGAGTGAACTACCAGATGGAAGATCTCTCCCTCCCTTCCGCCTCTCTCTCTCTGCCTCTCCTTCTCTGTCTAACTCTGACTTTCAAATAAATAAATCTTTTAAAAAATTAAAATAAAACATTTAGAAACTTATCTAGAGATATATATTAAGCAATGGGTCAAACTGTTAATCTGGAAAAAGTAAATTAAATGTACCATACAGTATTCAAAAAGTCTGGAAACAGGAAAAGCAAGTTATTTACTATGTCTACTTTTTAGGTTAACAGTTGGACTTACTGTTTTAAATTTAGAAGTCTATCACCTAAAAAGATGTCAGAGGATAAAGAAAAACACATGGGGGGTATTATTTAAAATTGTAACTAACAAATTGTTTATCTTATGTTTCCAACTTTATGTATGTATATATTGAGAGACACAGAGAGAGCTACTTTCTGCTGCTTTACTCCTCAAATGCCCACAACAGTCAGGGTTTCGTGATGCCAAAGCCGTGAGCCAGGAACTCAATGCAGTCATGCAGATGGCA